CCAGAGGCTCATAACATAATAACAACTACGTTTACGTTCATAGTTTCCACAAATAGGCACGGCTTAATCACAGATCACTAATAGCTGATGCTATGGATACCATGTGACGTCCGCACTGCACAGATCTCATAAATATGGATCAGTGGCCAGCAGTCTGTAATTTGATGGCTTCCAACGCGCATTCTGTCCGAGTCGAAATATTGAAATGAAAGAAGAACGGTCATCTGTGACCCAGGCCCGACAGAAACGAGACTTACCTCATTTTTTTTGTCATGTCTTAATTAGTTAAATTATATATTTTTTATATTCGAAATCTATGTATAACACCAAAATATTAACCTTTGTTTTTGTTCAGGTCTTATACAAAAACTAATACAAAATGCCTATTTATCACCAAAATTGGTAAATGTATGTACCTAAATGTCTATTACAGCTGCTATGGAATGTATCTAGGTGACCTGGAGATACAGCCGGATTATACAGGGTGGAAACAAGAAGTTACAAAATCCAAAAATTCTATGTTACCAGCTTCCATAATCTGTAACCTATTATTGGTACCATTTGAAAGAGCTCATGAAGCACTTTCAGAATCAGTAATTAGTTTTTCAATATCTTGTATAGGTTAGAAATAATCGAGTGAGATCACTTATCGTTCCATATGTATAACCACCCTGTATAATCCGGCTGTATCTCCAGGTCACCTAGATTCATTCCATAGCTGCTGTAATAGACATTTAGGTACATACATTTACCAATTTTGGTGATAAACAGGCATTTTGTATTAGTTTTTGTATAACGCCTGAACAAAAACAAAGGGTAATATTTTGGTGATATGCATAGATTTCGAATATAAAAAATATATAATTTAACTAATTAAGACATGACAAAAAAACTAAGGTATGTCTCGTTTCTGTCGGGTCTGGGTTTTTTTTGTATGGGGCGTGACCGTTCTTCTTTCACTGTAACACGTTTGATAGGGTTGATGTTGTGGACGAAATTTGCTTGAGTTTTAAATGTTAAAAAAAGTATTTTATATACCTGATGTTGAAGTATGGAAGTATGGGAAGTGAGGAAATATCTAAACTACACAGTTCCATGTTGTTTGACACCACATTAGACAACATCACATTATTATTACTTCAATAAAATTTAGTAATGGCAACTTATCTTGGTTGCCTAGTCAACGATTTTCATGCATACTTAGTTTTTCAGGCGTAGCGATAGATACCTACACAACTTTAGAAAGTAAAAATATAGAAGTGAAATTGATCATGGCCGTGCATATTTGATGATTTAGCGTTCTTGAAACTATGAGCTTTATTTACAGCTTTATTAAATCTTTGGGGACCGTATACGACTGCAGTAAAAGCTCTTGCTCTGAGTAAAAGCTTTGAAACATACGACAGAGCAATTTTATGGCGGTATGGCTTTTTGACATCGTAAATCGTATTGTCCTAGGAGTCTTAAAGTTTATCATAAACTATACTCATAGGTACTTTTCTTAGAAATACAACCTGCTCTAAGTTAAAAGCAACGCATTTATGGTATAACTAGCTTTCCGCCCGCGGCTTCGCCCGTGTGGAATTTTGTCTGTCACAGAAAAACTTTATCGCGCGCGTCCCTGTTTCAAAAACCGCGATAAAAACAATTCTATGTCCTTTCCCGGGAGTCAAACTATCTCTATGCCAAATTTCATCAAAATCGGTTCAGTGGTTTAGGCGTGAAAGCGAGTCAGACAGACAGACAGAGTTACTTTCGTTTTTATAATATTAGTATAGATAGGTTAAGGTATAGTCAATGAAAACTAGTCAAAATATCAATTAACTCTTTAGGCCCCGTGAATCGAGGCAAAATAGAAATCAATTGTTACGCGGTCATAATGTGACTGCTTGGGGATTGATGGGTAAAGTAAATATATAAATGAAATTTAAGTCTAACCGACGACATCCCCACCCCCACGTCTTTACACCTGATACGTTTGAAACGATTTTCGTACTATCTCTAGTCCGTTTATCACAAAAATTGCAAAGGAACGGCATTATATTCCAACGTTTGTCGTCACACAATCCGATAACCTCCCGGGGAAATAGGTAATTTACTCAGATAACGTGTCATTTTCTGTATTCTGAAATGATGCTCAAAACAGGCATATAACACTGCGATTACTTATCTATACTAATATTATAAAGCTGAAGAGTTTGTTTGTTTATCTCCGGAACTACTGGTCTAATTTGAAAAATTCTTTCAGAGTTAGATAGTCCATTTATCGAGGAAGGCTATAGGCTATACATCATCACGCTACGATCAATAGGAGCAGATCAACAATGAAAAATGTAGCAAAAACGGTTTTTCACGCGTACGAAGTCGCGGGCACAGCTAGAACATGAATAAAAGTGAATAACAACAATAATATTTTACCAAACAGCTTGCCTTTTACCCTTAGGCTGGGTTACACAATCTTATTTTAACTTTGACAAACGTCAAAAATCTGTCAAACTCCGAGCAAAAAGCACCGGTTTTCGATAAAGTTAGGTGGTGCAACTCAGCGCTTTTACCTGTGGATAGTTTAAGAACTTTGGCCCATAATTCCCACACAATAAGTTGTTTAACTGGTTCTTTATTACTAGTTTATATTTAGAGTGTAGTGAACCAAATACATATAGGTATAGTGTAGATTACAATAACGGCCCTCACACGTGTATTGGATTTGCCACTGAATAGAGAGGTGTCCTTTGGGATCCTTGTGTACCTATCCCGAGATTAGAGCAACTCTAGGCACATAGTATACATAATGGGGACATTAACAAAACATAGTGAACAATGTCCCGAATTAGATGCCATTAGTATTTTTTCCCAGAAAAGAAAGCCGAAGGTTTTATTGTTCATTTCTTTTTACGATTCATTGTTACTATTATTATATTTATTTTCATTGTCCTTTTAATGACGATTTTCCGAAACATCGAATTTTCCGAATGGACTTTGAACATAAAGTAAAAAGTTATCTACAGGAAAAGGCTACATGTTTTTATAAATCTGTCAGACAGTGTTACTTTTGCATAAATTGTATAAGTATTCAGTTCCATCAATATTAAAAAATACAAGTAAACTAAAGTTTTTTGTATGTTACTATTAATGTCTAAATCATTTTACTCTACATATTTTGACTTTCATTTAACATTTTCATATGTAGAGATGTTAGCGCATATTACCCGTTTGCACATAAATTAAAACGATAAAAGCTTTTTATAGATAAGATATCAAAGCATTACAAGGAAGATTGTGAGATTAACAAAATGCATTCGATAAAAATGGTATTTGTTTTGTAAACCCTAAAATCGATAGAAAAGTTTGTTTACCTGTGTGAAATTACTACTCAAAATTATAATTAATAATCATATTATATTTTTACTGACTGATGACTTTTAATAACTTTTATTTCTACCAGTACTTTTACGTTTACGTCAATCAGTAAGTAGGCACTCATAAATATTACAAAATATTTTGCTAATATTTTAAATGGGTACTTACTTACAGACTTATGGGCCGCCTGATTCATAGCTTTTATCAAGCTTTCGACAGAGATTGATTGTAAGCTGCCAAAATGAACGCCATAAATTTTCACTTAATATCTACATTCAAATCAGTTTTTACGATGGTTTGATAAAGCAACAAATGGTTGTAAATCTATATTTGTCCTACATTTACTATCGTGTAAGTAACTAATGTACGCATTCTAACACGTGATGTTTTTTTATTTTATTTTATTTATTAGGACAACCAACAAGACAAACACGCATACATGGAATTACTATAACTAAAAGTGCTTAGAACTAAGTGTTGTCTTAATTAAAGGCTGCCACGGCATGCAATGCTTTTGTAAGTTATGTATTTGATTTTGTTTGGAGACGTTAGTTTGTCAATTTCAGACACATATGATTCTCGTACTTCATTCACGCTTAATTATATTGAGTATCAATTTCGTACACACTATTTAGGGCTTACACCGAACTCACACATTATCGGGATACCTACCTGACCCATTTATTACTTGGCTACGAAATCAAGTCTCAAATGGAAACGTGATCAATCAACGAATCTCGAGATACGAATCTAGAAGCCGAACCCCGCAAAACTGTTTAGATCATCGCTCATCTTGATAGGTATGGAGCCAATATAATAATTTAATTTTGCCGCCGTGTAACATAGAAAGTAGGTATACAATTTAGAGAACATCAGATTAAAAGAATAGGTCTATTGTCGATAAAATAACGCTTTTCATGACAACATATTTTTTATAATGCCACAGTGTTTACAAATATTGAAACCACTGATACCCACGATGAAATAGTTAGGCAGCTAGATACTGCTAAAATGCATTAAATGCTTGGACACTGAGTCCGTGATATTTATAAGCGCGTACGCATTACATCTCTCTTATAAGAGAATTCTTACCTGTCAGAGAATGAGGACTTTCAGTACTTATAGTGATGAGTGCATCACTATAAGTACTAATACACTGTAAGTACAAAGGAAAAGGGTCGGTTCTAATCTTCCATGTCTTCAAAAGTACCTGACCTAGCTTTGTGAAACAAAGCATACGTGATAAAACTACGATTTTTTATTTCTCTATCTAATAATATAAAAATGAATCGCAAAATGTGTTGGTAAGCGCATAACTCAACCACGCCTGGACCAATTTTACCAATTCTTTTTTTTTAATTTTCGTCATGTCTAAAGATGGTTTCTACGGCGAGAAAAATTCGAATGATTTTCGGAAAAACCCCAAGCGATGCCGCGGGCGGAAAGCTAATTTTACATAAAAATAAAAAGCTTTAATTAATTTAGTCTTTATTTTATAAAGCTAAAGATACTTTTGACCCTTTTTCTTTGCGGTCCAGTGTAGTTCTACTTTAACAGCCTAATATTTGCTACAGTTCTCCACGCAAGGACGATGTGGTCCCGCAAGCAGTCGGTGTGCAGCGCAGTCAGCGGCGCGTCCAAAGGCGACGATGCAGAAGCCTTCGCAAGCGGCCTGCAGATATACCCCTTCGCTATAGCTCTTAGAGTTAGAGTGCTACAGGTAAAAGAATTATATAACTAAAACAGATAAAATATATAGACATAGGTAACAATAACACAAGGTCGACTGCTAGTGATGAGAGAGCTTTGCCAACATGAGTATATCAAGGCAAGCTGTAATTGGGACATGTAAAGGGACGTACATCACTTATTAAGTACTACAACTACATTACTTTGGCTGAGTTGCACCACCTAACTTTGACCGTAATTATGACGATAACCGGTGTTTTTTGCATGGAGTTTGACAAATTTTTGACGTTTGTCAACGTTAAAGTAAGATGGTGCAACCCAGCCTTAAACATGTAGTTTGAATATGAACCGCGACGTAGTAGTACTCGACTGATATAAGAGTAGAACTGTTTTCAGTCTAATATGAAAGAAAAGTACTGCCAACCTAAAATTCAATTTTTGCTTGTGTGCTAGCAATGTAGCGATTCAGTGCTGTACTATTTCTTATGCTGGAAGTGGACAATTAATTAATGTTATATCTAGCACAATTGTAGAGATAAACAATATTAAACGATCTCTACCTTTTGTTACGATCATATTGGAGATTGTTTTCTAAATCCCCGGATAAGTAAAAGTACACAAAAGCTTATAAACAACTACTTTAATTTATGGCATACCAACAACCACTACGTGGAAATTTTCGAACCGATCAAAATTACATTTACTTCATGAAATAAAAATTCCCTAATCTGCTTAAGCGAGGGCTGAGCAGAAATTAATCAATATAACCAATCAACCAAGCTGACTAGCGATTACATTTTAATCCAGTTTGCCTGGGATTAACCCCCAGTGGCAGCGGTCTACCGACAAAAAACGGTTGCTTAGATTTTGGATAACTTTCCTATACATTAGTGGTGACTGAAACCTTTTTTATGAAACAGAAATTAATTAAAATGTACAGTGAGAGATTAGTGCGTCTGCTTTTTATTTTGAAGACATCGATTTTTTAAGCTTCTTAGTTCTAGTTCCTTTCAATTATTTAATAACGCAACGCTTTTACTTTTATATTAATTGAAAATATTAAACTACCTACCTATTTGGGTTATTACTTAGTATTTCAAATTCAAACTCGGGCAAAGTAACTAACTATTATATCAAGCTACAAATCTTAATTTTATTGTATGCTAACGACTTCAAATTGAAACTTTACTTCAAAGTTTGCTTAAGCTTTAATAACACTCAGTAAAGTTGTTATCAATGCTAGACTAATTTGACTAAAACTGATAATGTCTTACAAAGTTATAGATTTATATTTTACTTAGAGTAAAGAGTTTACGAAAACTTTATGTTACAATTATTTCTGTATTTTACTTAAGAATCTGTTTGGATGGGACAATTTTTATATATGGATAATAAATAAATAAATAGTGTTATTGCAAAATGATATTATTCTAAATCAAGAATGATGTTTAACTCACCACCCTGGATTCGACCAAACAAGAGTAAATATTAATCTCAGAATAAATCGTCAGTTTTGACATATTTCCCGTACTGAAACTGTCTATGTGCCAGTTATACCAGGAGTTATTCTCGGATAAAAGTTTGGTCCAATCGGGCCTAAGTGATGAAACTTGGTGTTTTGTGACAGATAGTCTGTGGTATCGGCGGGCTGGTGGTGGGCGCTGTGGGCTGGCTGGAAGAACGGCAGAAACCGATGCTGGGGCTAGGAGTCCCGGCCGGCGCCGTTACTGTGCTGGCTGCAGGTTTGTATGACGAAAGACCCAATAGTTAAGCATAAAACGCATACTTACGCCCGTATCCACATAAGATACTTGCTTAAGTGAAGCAGCAAATCGAACGCACAGCGTTCAATAGAGCTCTGTGATTGGTGTGTCACCCTGTACGTCGACTCGCACTGTGAGTCCTCATAATGTTTGTGAATAAGGGCGGTTGTCATGTGGGAGTACGCGTACGTTACTTACTTATATTTAGGACACAGCACAGGTCTCACCCCAACCTAACACCATCGTCACTGTAGTACAACATACAAAATTATTATTTATTTACTTTGGCTTTTAAGTTCAGTGGACGTCCTATGACTGATATTATGCCGTTGTGAATAAACGTTTGCGCTGCCTGAATCACAGTGAACTGCCATACGTGCCCGAAGTACGAATTTAATTAATTGTTAGTTGTTATAATCATGCAATCATGCACTGAAATATTTATCAAAGTGGAACCCACCCAATTAGTGAGTTCAACTCCGTATAGCATTAATATTCTGATATATTGCACAAAATAAACTAATGCAGCACGGATCAACAAAGTTAGCCGGAGCGAAACTCTGCCCTCACAAAGCGATTGCGGTTTAATCCCGTTTAATCAAGCCAATGTTGACACTGCCGTCTGTCACGACCAGGCAAAGTGAAATTTTAAATGCTACCATTATAAATCATCTGAGCCCAATTTGGTATAATGCTAACCAAGAATTCAGGGTTAACATTTAGAGAAGAGTTTGACATTTTGAAAGAGTTGAGATTACTTTTGCATTAAAGTAGCGTCTATTTTTGTTGATTTTTGTAAATAGAAAAGAATAGAATATATTTATTTGTTTCAAAAAAGTTACATTTACATAATAATACAGACCATAATGACGACCGGTCCAAATCTTTGGGAGAGGCCTTTGTCCAGCTGTGGACGTCTTTTTTCGCTGAAACAAACGAACAGTGTACAATAGTGAGTGGTATCAGGCAAAACGATCTAATGACTCTGTTTAAACATGAATGAGTTTGTAGTGGAGATGTCAAAGGCTAAAAAACGTCAGGATAAGAAGCCAAAAGCTTTCACATAATCGGACAAATCGAGACAGATGGTAACCCTGTACAAATTGCAATTTCCAACTCCGCATAGAAATAATTAGAATAATATCATGTTCCCTGGGTATTTGCCTCGAATATGGACTTTGACAACTAATGTTGTGGATTTGGTTGTGAAATAGATATTAAAACTGAGTTGCACCACTGTACTATGACCGTAACTATAACGATAAAAGGTGCTTTTTGTATGGAGTTGGACAGATTTTTGACGTTAAAGTAAGATGGTGCAACCCGGCCTTGGATTTTTTTTTTTTTTTTATGCATAACAAGGCAGGTATTTGACCACAATCGCACCTGATGTTAAGTGGGATGCAGTCTAGGATGGTACATATCTGCCCTGTAAGTGCTTATTCACTCTCGCCTTGAAGAGGCCCGGATTATAGTTTTCGGGAAAGACAGCAGCAGGCAACGAATTCCAGTCCCTAGCTGTTCGCATTATAAAAGAGTCATCGAAACGCTTAGTGCGAGCTGGTGGAATGTTTCTGGTTATATTTTAATAATCCAAGTTGTCCATCCTTTTATGAATTTAATTTGTGATCCTATATCCTGTGACCCCTTTATTAATAAAAAGTTACAATAGGATGAACCTTGGATTAAAATGACATTTCCACACTAAATGACATTTAAACCAGAGTTCAACTAGGGTGTAACTTTTATTAAAAGAAGGACTCTGTCTCTCTGTGTCTGTAGACAGACAGACAAGAATGGATACCATTAGCAAATACAGTAGCGAGATTTAGATACACTTACCATAGGATCGGGAAGCGGTATTGTCTATCATCTATTTGATATGAGGAAGCATGTACCTTGATTCTGCTTTGGACATAATATTTTTACTTTGATAGTGAACTGGCGACTGGTTGATGATGACATATTTGATTGCGCTACATAAATAAAAATTTAAATTCGTGTAAGCTTGTAAAATTATGTGCCCTTCGTTCGTTCGTTCATTTCAGCCAAATGACGTCCACTGCTGGACTAAGGCCTCCCCCTCCTCCTCCGGGCTGGAAGACGTAGCGTGGGGAGTCCTCGTACTAAGTGGACCGACGACCTGGTAAAGGTTGCGGGAAGAACCTAGATGCGGGCAGCGCAGGACCGTTCATTGCGGATATTTTATGTGCCTTGTTTTAATTTTAAAAAGTATTTTCTCTATTTCTAGTTGCAAGGCTACAACAGTGTTTCTGTCTGCAGTCTCAAGGGAACACGTCAGTCCTAATCCAGAAAGGTCGTATTTGATTCCCAGCTCGTATAAACCTCAGTTATAATGAAACGTGTGCAGTATTTTACAAAGGTATCCCTGGAATTGCAATGAAAACTTTTAAAATAATAAAGACACGTGTTAAAATAACATTGACTTGTGGTGGTTGGTGTATTACAGCGATACACGCAGGGGAAGCCGGAAGCAAATGCTAGTAATTAATATTACTACAAAATACATTATATTATTATCATTCACGGAAATTTTCCAAAGTAAACCACCAAATCACCCACAGAATCAAGGAGTATTCGGTGGGAACCTTCTGAGAATGTAACTAGGGATTTCTAGTCAACTCAAAGACTACGTGAAATCCAGCACTTACGGGAATCGCTATACAAATAACTAACGCCCGTATTCACAAACGATGCTTCGTTGCGTTCGTTATAACGTTACTCTGCAATATACTAGTAGATCCGGCGTCGTTATTATATGAAAATATCGCAGTAAATACGCATATACAAAATAGAATACAGTAAGCCCAATTCAGGGATAGCTTACACACTACACACTACACTGTCACTAAAACGTTAGGTAAGCGTAGAAAAATTATTAACATGAAAATGTTTTGAATAGCGAGATATGTGCCTATACGAAAGGTATCTGAAGGGACATGCCAGACTAAACTGTTTCCTGGCTTCATAGAATAAGTAGCATTCAATTTCAAAAGTCACAGAATAATTAATAAAAAATAGGCACAGAAAAATCTAGGACATCAGTGAACCCACTGGTCTATCTTGTACTATCATTTTATCATCCGTATGCAAGCATAAACATAAAATTACACTAGCGTTTGAGATAGTAGTGATCTGCATAGTTTGAACGATCTTTGAAGATGGATAGTTACAAATAGATTATTGATTTATTTATACGAGTAATAGGTAGGTACTGTTTTTTTTTTAAATTTGCACAAGCTGAAACTAAAACAAGGAGCTTCTCTGTTCCATACACCAATTAGGAAGAAAAAGTTTGATTATTGCTATTTTATGTCAAGACGTTAATTAATTTAGACAGCCAGTCAAAGTTTCAGTTGACGATTAAATATGTAGGTTTTTTCACAACGCAGCAAAAGTAAAATGTTTTATCAAAAGTATAAAAAACAATAATCATTAATGATTATATCAAACTATCAAGTTACTTACCTAGTAAAAATATGTAATCATAAACGTATTTCACTCCAACGTTAAGGTTTTCTTTCTTTTCATGATATTGTATAGAAGACCTCGTCTTCAATATTATTCTATACATTCAATACTGAAATGTAAGGGCACCTTAACAAATGCGCGAGCTCATTTTCATATTAAGAGAATATTTAGATGAGATGTCTATTCACGCGTAGGTAATTGATCGCCGACGTATTATACTTTACACTTTCCGCGTACTTACTAAGTATAGTAGTTGTACGACTATAATGTAGTGATACTCAATATTACGTACTCAATCATTTCTTTCTTAAGAAGAAAGGGTTTTTGCGCGACATTTGCTTGTGTTCAGATTATTTAACAGGTAGGTAACTTTTAGTTCTTGCCAAAAAATATCAATATCTATTCCACACTTAGAAACTTCTTGGGTAAGCAGAACTTTCGGGCTTACGTTTGATTCATGAACGACCCCTCATCACTGCTGAACTAGAAACTAAGGGTTTTATTTTTAGGCAACCAGTGTTGGTCCTATCGAAAAAGTTTCCAAATTCTTCTCTTTGGAATGTGAATAGTTTAACATAGTGGGCACTTTAACCAAAAATTCATAAATTCTGAGGCGAAATTCCTGAATGCCTCTAAAATTTAATAAAATATGTCAGTACAGAAGTGTAATATCACCCTCGCCAAGTTTTCGCTCTAAATTACCTGGATTAAAACTTGAGGTGATATATCCACTTAATGGCTTGAAAACATGATTAAGACGGTAGACTGAAGAAGAAGCTTTACAGATGATATAATGAAGACATCAGTATTCTTTGTTATGCGCAAACACGAGCATTATCCTGGAATCACAATGTAAATGGAACGAACAAAAGGAAGCAATGCTAAAAGCAAACCCAAATTCCATTAACAGAAAAATTAATACTTTTTGCGGATAATCCTAGAAACCCACTTCTCTTTGGATAAAATCTGCATGCACTGACGTGTAACCCGAAAATATCACTGGAATTTCTCTCGAAAGCCGACACCACGAGTTTAACATGCTACGCCTGAAAATATTGTAGCTAGGTTTACACTAGCATGTTCGTGTAGGATGGTTCAGAAATTGTTACGTGCACTGTAATTTTAGAATACAACATAGATTCCATAATGTCTTACGTAATTAATTTAAGCAGGTTAATTCTAATTTTGGAGATATTTTGCCATGAACATACACTGGTCATCACAAAAATCGGCCCACCTACGTTTTACAGGAAAACTCGTTTCTACTGACACAATCTTGGTGCCCCAACAATATTGGTGTTATTTGAAAGCCCAAAAATAATCCTTAAAGAAAATCACATTTAATTTCCTAATAAACGATTAACGTATACAATAAATGTGACTTGAAAAACTTGAAAAAAGACCTCACTTTGGGTTCACCTCTGGGATCAATTAGACCAATGTTTATGGTTATAAAACCAAATAATGATCTCGCGTGTCCTCTTTAACAGATGGATAGCGATTAATTAATTAATTAACAGTTTTATAGCCATAAAAGTTGGCTCAAGCGTAACTACCTATTTTTTTAAGAAGTGACTCTGGATTCTTCTACAGACACATTTTTGGAGTAAAAACCTTTCCTTTGATGAAATGAAGTTTAGAACTAGGCTTTTAAATGGTAATATAGTATAGTAATATTGGTGGGAAGTGGGGATGCATACGTTTGAAAGTGCTTGTCGCGGGAGGGTCGATTTTTGTGATGACCAGTGTATATTAAATTATCAATAACTAATTACTTACTAATTATTGAAATTTTATAAATGTAAAACATGACGTTTGTGTTCATCTAAAAATGTTAGAGTTATCTTAATGGAATCAGAAGTTTTATTTCATTACTCATACAAAGGTTTCTGTATAAGTTCAATTCTTCCTTTTGAATTTGACGAGCCTTTTCATGCTATACCAATAAGTTATTCAACAATGAAGCTTTCAAACGCGGCCCATGTTACACATTCACGAAGTGTTGTTACGCGGCGGAATTGCTGCCTCCATTATAAATCACACTGAAGTTTATGTAACTTTTTCATCATTTGAAATGTGGGAATATGTACTCTTTTAACCCTTGTTGGTTCACTTTATTTATGTGCTACAACACGTACACTATATTCTATGTTCATGTTTATTTCAGACAGGTAAATTGTAACCAAGACGGATCGCTAGGTACACATTATTTTCCAGGATAAGAAGAAGATGGATTTGAATAACAAAGTTCTCCAGAATAAACCAGATTGTATCTGAAGGCGTCGCTTGACCCGCTTATATAGAATGCGTTTCCCTTGTAAGAAGTGGGAAAACATCAATGATGTAGGTCAAACGCTCGTAACGTGAAAGACTACGTCTTTTTGTTGCTGTTAGTACGATTCGCTTATGACTTTTTTGACAATTCGTTTGTTCTTTACCAAAGTTCTAGGGTCTCTAATAGAGCGTTATGTTTGAACTTTATTCTTTCGAAGTAGAATGAATAAAACGAACAACTTATCTAATTTTACTTTTTTCGGTTTGTTTGAAAGTTTATTTAAGATGCTTTTGTAAAAGATTCTTAGGTAATTATGATTTCTGCTCGAGATTTTTCATGATAGGATATTATGTACTACAATTTACGTTTCAATAATTTGTCATTTTATTGAAAAATCTCAAATACATGGATGCATTGCAGAATCGGTCTTTATGGAAATCCTTCGAGGAGGCCTTTGCCCATCAGTTGACGCCATTTGGCTGAAACGAACGAACGAACTCGAGTTAAAATATAGACACGTAAATAAAAATAACTGACGCTGGCCGCTACCAACCGGGCAACATGGAAAGCATTGGGGGAGGCCTATGTATACAGGGTGGCCAAAACAGTGAGGTCTAAAAGAAAAATTTAGATTCCTTACATCAAGGTGTACCTAAATCACCCCCATGTATGTAATACGATTATGCTTAGTTTAGGAGATAGAGTTAATTTTGTGATATTTTAAAATTTTGTGACCAAGTAGGCTTTAAACATTTTTATCTTTTTTTTGGGGTGACTTTTCTCAGATTTCTTTTTTTCGACAGATTTGTTATTAATTGCAGATGTTTGAAAAAAATAATCACCTTCCTATCTTTGATTCAAGGTACAAAATTTTTGCTAGAAACATTAAAATTATGCTTTTATCAGAACACTATCAAATTTTCAACTTAAAAGTTTAAGTAAAATAAGAACTTCCATAGGTCCAAAACCATTTTAAAAACTGCGCCGTTTCCTGAACATTCATAATAATACAAAAAAACATGTACTTAATGGGCCACTATTTCCTGTAATCGGTCCACTAAAGTGGTAAGTCGGAGATTCTGTTACATGTTTTTGACTTTCTTAGAGTGAATTAATATTGGGTGTAGTTGAAGTTCCCTTCCACCTTCAGCCTAATCATCAGTTTCCACCAGGTGTGATGAAGGGCAAGACCTTCCTTGTTGCGAATAAAAACATGTTCTATCCAGTTACTGCTCTAAATCTGTTCTACGTAATGTAAACTTAGAGGATTCCCAATATTAATTCACTCTAAGAAAGTCAAAAACATGTAACAGAATCTCCGACTTACCACTTTAGTGGACCGATTACAGGAAATAGTGGCCCATTAAGTACATGTTTTTTTGTATTATTATGAATGTTCAGGAAACGGCGCAGTTTTTAAAATGGTTTTGGACCTATGGAAGTTCTTATTTTACGTAAACTTTTAAGTTGAAAATTTGATAGTGTTCTGATAAAAGCATAATTTTAATGTTTCTAGCAAAACTTTTGTACCTTGAATCAAAGATAGGAAGGTGATTATTTTTTTCAAACATCTGCAATTAATAACAAATCTGTCGAAAAAAAGAAATCTGAGAAAAGTCACCCCAAAAAAAAGATAAAAATGTTTAAAGCCTACTAGGTCACAAAATTTTAAAATATCACAAAATTAACTCTATCTCCTAAACTAAGCACAACCGTATTACATACATGGGGGTGATTTAGGTACACCTTGATGTAAGGAATCTAAATTTTTCTTTTAGACCTCACTGTTTTGGCCACCCTGTATGATGATGATGATGAAGTAAAATTATTAAAATACCAATGAAAAGGGCTATTGTGTGCCAAATTTAATACGAGCTTCAGCGCTATCTCGTTATCTTCGCGATCCAAAATAATCAATTAGCGATAATTACTATAGCAACGTCGGTGTACTACAGCCGAGGGTTTGGCGGCTGGGCGTCGGCGCGGGCGCGGTCGAGCCGGCGGTGGGGCGCCCCCTGGAGGGCCCTGGGGCCCTCGCCGTGCGCCGCGGTGCCCCTGACCACGCTATGGACGGCGGCCCTGGCTGCGCATGTGGCTATGCTGGTGTTTTGCATCAGATCCTTAATGAATATTGGGTGAGTTAAAATTATTGATTCTATTCTTTCTTATTCAAGCCACGATAGCCGAACGGTAAAGGGGTCGGACTGGCTGACTCGTGATTCGGGGAACGCGGGTTCGTCCCGCCGCCGCTCGACTCCAATGCTCCAAGCATATTTAGCGTCTACGTATCTATCGTATCTAGCGTAGTACGAGAGGCTAACGGGACCTTAAAAACCTAATTTCAATTAGAAGCTTTGCTTGCTGGTCTCATATTGCCCTCAATGGTTGCATAACGTTTCGGTACAAACTCTTAGGCTGAGTTGCATCATGATAGCGGTTAAAGTAAAAGTTTGTGTCAAAGGCAGTAACAGTAACGCTGACTATAACGGTTACAGATTCACATACCATCCATAATCGAGCTCGAGCTGCTAGAGCTGTTACTGTTACTGCTAAAGTTATGATGTCATCTTACATTTTGTCAATTGGTGCAACTCAATTTTTGTTTTACCGATACTTTAGCAGAAATTACGATCTATGTTACTGTCAAAGTAAGATGGTGAAACCCAGCCTTAATATTGTTTACCAAGGCTATCTCAAAGTTAATGGTTATGCTCAGTTCTTATAAATGATTAGCATTTCGCGTGGCGATAATGGTCTGTCGTTTGTCCCTTAAAGTCCGCTGGGCTATCAAATTCTGTTTTAATAAGATATTATATCTCCTTAGCTATAAAGAGGTTAGAGACTTCTTAAACATGAAAATAGAGAATCGAGGAAAATTCCATGATTATGAAATTATACTCTTAAGAAAATTAAATCGATTCCATTTTAAGAACTTTGACGCTTTTTCGTCACTTTGATAGCCTTTAAGGTTCTTACGGTAGTTTAAACCACACCACCAAAATCTAACTCATACACTTAAAAGGGATTCTAAATTCGAATGTGTCAGAATATTCGATGTGGAATCTCTGCTCTCTGCCGTTGATTAGCCGGCTGACTGGCACGCCACTCCAAAGCGCATGCCACAAATTTCCGTGGCAATCACGGAGCAGCGAGTGGAGTGTTCAATTTCAGTTTTCATTTGAAGGGGAATCTCGATGGCTCTCTTTTTTTTAGATTAAATATTTTAAATAGATTCTTCGACTGCTATACTACCCGCAATTAACGACGACGACTTTTTTTTTAAATTATGATTATGCTAACAAGATTCTCCCCGCAATGTCTTTCTTTAAGCGCCATATTATGACAGGTAAACAAAACAGAAAATTATTTTCAATAGTAGTTATAGTTTCTTATTAGTCTCTATATGATTTTTGGGAAAAAATTAACGTACCTAAGTCCGGGTTATTAGGTCTCATCTATAAACTAAAAGTAATTAAAACTGTTCAGTGGTTTAAGCGTAAGGCCGTTAGGTACATATAGCCAGATAGATACATTTACTTCAGCAGCATTTATACTTAACAGATAAATGAATTAATAGTTCCACAGAACTACTTGGGCATCTTCCTATAAAATGGATTAGCCAGGATTTGGGGAGAAAAAGGGTCCAGAATTAGATTACCAATCTTACCCAAATGTATAATCTAAGATCGGCTTAACTCTACTAACAAACTGACGTAATGGGTAAGAAACGTGTTTTCATCCGAATAAGAAATATTACGGTCCAGGAGCCTTACATTTGTACGGCAGGATGTAATTTACAACGGGCTCATAATTTGTTTGCGGTGTTTGCCATTTTTAGCTGTCTCCGTCTCCCCTGCTGACCTTACCTTTACTTATGAAAATTTTAATCGTTGCAAAAAGGGGCATCTAAATTTACACAGCATTTTTGTCTTGCTTATAAAATATTATCTTAATTTTAAGTTTCAAGTGTCTCCTTATAACTCTTCAAAATTATAATGAACATAGATTTATAAAAGTGTAATAAAAAGTAGACTTTCAAGTCTATGCTAACCAACATTATCTAAACTCTCTCTCATTATTATCATGCCTTTCGATGTTATACTGTTTGTTTATTCTTTCTTGTCTGCTTTCATTTCTGGTGATTTTAAATATTGTTTTGTTCCAGCTGCGGCAGCACAACGTGTATAGGCGTAGCCGCGGCTCAGCTGACGGTGTCGGTGGCCACTTTAGCAGCAGCTGTGTTCATGCTGCAGCTGGACTTGCGGTTCGACGCCGCTCTATCGCCGCCTCCGAGGCCGTCTGATGCGCAGATATGCACCGCTGTGTCTATGGTAAGTTCTTCACCGACTGTGCCCTAGCCATCTCTTCATAATTTTACTCAGAGGCCGACGGTGCCCTAGTCATCTCTTTATCACTTAAGCCAATTTGGCAGCAGCTGTCTTCATGCTGCAGCTAGACCTATGCTTCGACGCCGCTCTATCGCCGCCTCCGAGGCCATCTGATGCACAGATATGCACTGCTGTGTCTATGGTATGTTCTTGACTGACTGTGCCTAGTCGTTTCTTCATTTCTATACTTATGTCGGGCTGGCAGCAGCTGTCTTCATGCTATAGCTGGACCTGCGGTTCGACGCCGCTCTATCGCCGCCTCCGAGGCCGTCTGATGCGCAGATATGCACCGCTGTGTCTATGGTAAGTTCTTGATTGACTATGCTTAGTCATTTCTTCATAATTTTACTTAGGCCACGCTTGCAGCAGCTGTCTTCATGCTGCAACTAGACCTGCGGTTCGACGCCGCCTCCGAGGCCGTCTGACACAGATATGTACTGCGGTGTCTATGGTAAGTTGAAGAATGTAACAGTCGATCCTAGTAATAGATGATTAGGGTCACCTGTTCCTCTCAACGCTACACTTAGGCTTTTTTTGCTGCAAAGATGTGTTAAGCTGCGCTTGTGTTTGTCAAGCACCAATTCATTTCATTCAGCGTATCTTCAGTGAAAACGGTTAAGCGGAGCGAGGATTTTGTAAATGTAGTGTAATATTGGAAAAAAAATTTGTCGCTCTGTAATTATGATTAAATACAGTGCCACAAGTAGATTCAGGAAAGTGTTAAATAAAATAATGATTGTAAAGATTTGGCACTATTTAAGCTCTACCAACCTAATCAAAAGATCCCATTTGGTCTGAGCGTTTGTGACGCAAGCACATTAACGTACCCATGGAATAGGTTATTGCGGCCGTAAATCTAGACCTATCTAATCTACCTTTTGTTCGGATTCACTCCCTAAATAACTGTTAGATGTGCGGATGAATCTGCTTACGTAACGAACATTCGCACAACGTTCGTTTTGTGGCCTGTATATTACTTAAAATAAACCAGCTTTTAGTTACAGTCTACCTGGATCTAGTTAACGATAAAGAAAAGCTTCTATAGCTTTGACTCAATTGGCTAGTCAACACCATTTTGCGACGACTTCCAAAAATAATATTCCGTCAGCCCTGAAAGCTAATCAGTACTTATTGAGCATAACTGTACATTAATAGTTGCTTTGAGTAAGATATTTGATAAAAACAAATGAATTGACGAAAAGTGACGTCATACTTTATTACGGAGGAGCTTGAAAAGGCGGTGCGTCAATTGATTGGTACGTGTCAAATGTTTCAATTGCTAAACCTGTTTCTGTGAAAAAGTCAGAATATCTCCATTCCTTCAATTCAATAAGGATCTCGAATACCGGTATTCACGTTCGTTTCCCTTTATTACATTTTTGTAGCTATTAAAGGTATGTAGGTAGAGTTCCCTCATTTCTATGGACCGTGCGTGACACCTTTAGAAATGCAGATTGTGTCTTGGCGTAGCGCTTCAATACAGCTACAGTGTATATTGACTGTATACGAGTATATTACCTAAATAAGGTGCTAAATATATTAAGCAAGGGTCGCATTTCGTGGAAGATTGATATCCTGCGACTCTACAATGTAGGAACTATTTACATTGATTAATTTGTTGATATACCTACCAAACTAACGTTTATTAGGTCTACATTTACTACTGTAGTTTAGAACTCAGGCTGTATTTTCATATATCACATTAATACACTAAATACAAATAATTACAATATTTATTTCAAGAGTAAGTGGTCTGAATTTAAATACCAACTACTCCATTCAACAACCTGTATGTACGTTTCATATTAAAATATTCAGAACGTCTATCCTCTTCACCTTGCCCCAGATAAGCTCGTATTATGACATCTCATTTCTATTTCTGAAAGATTCTCTGAAAGATCCTCTGATTATTCTCGTCCTATCAATAATGTATTAAGGTATCTTCAAAAACAAAACGTTTTGCGTTGAAAGGTTCTGATATGTAAGTTGTTTGTTATATCAATCAATGTAGGTTTATTTGTTTGTTTTAGAAGTTCTTGCGAAATTCAATGCTCATTTTTTTAATATTGGTTCCAAAGATGGAAATTAGGTGTTAATTTTTAGAAATTTAAAAAGTTAAAGATAAGTAAGCTTATTGGCTTTTGTTATAGGTATAAGGTTATAGAACCACTTTTAGATTTTAGGTGCACCGACATGAAAAAGTTGTTAGTTATCGATTAAATCCTATAGATTTTGTGCTCGTTATTGAGTTGATTGGCATCGTATATTAAGTAATACAATTATTGTTATCCGTTAATTAGTTCTGAATTTGACGTCTGTCTATTAATTAATATCAAAGATTCGCAGACAGGCGTATTGATAGGAAACAACGTAAAGGGCGTTTGTAGAATGTAATTAAAACTGGGCAATCCCCTTATTCCACGACTGTGAGTGGAAATTAGCTGTCATTCGGTCTGCAACGGGAGAGAACGGAAAAATGGCTGACTGCTAGGCTTGGTTCACACGTAGTTACGTACCACAGCTACACACAACACCATCGCGACAAAAAGTGATCAATCTTTGGTGGTTACGTGTGAATAATGTCGCTACGGCTTCTTGCGATTTCGTACTTGGAGTAGCCAAAAAGTTCAAAAGATCGCAAACGTCTTTGTTGCAATTGAAATAAGATTGTGTTGTCAACTTTTTGGCCACTTTGGGTACTGACTGTACCTACAAATGTGAATGTGGTTGCATTGTCGCTATGGTGTCATGTTCATGGTGATAGCATTGTTGCGAAGTGACTGCGGTGTGGTGGTTATCTATCACACACGCGGTTGAAAGTGACGACAAAATGTGGTCCTTGTGAATTTAATTATTAATTTTAATACAAATTAGCACCTGCCCACGTCTTGCAGTTGTAGTACATACGTGTGTAATAAGCCTTTAGTCTTTGCTAAAAGAGCGCCATCTGTACGAACCCTTTGGGAGGATAATCCATGCCACTGCGTCTCAAAGAAGCACGGGATTAGCACACATTTATTTTCGCTTTTGAGGACTTTACATACTCGTAAAAGAACATCGTTCATTTGCAGTATGGTAGTTGGTAAACTAATTTAGCACTGGCTACTGAAATACAATTTACGCTAGTTTGTAATATACTTTAGAAAAGCCAGCCATTTACCTACTTCAACTAACATTTTTCTATTTATGTATTTAAAAGCTATCTAAAATGGTGTTCTATTTATTGGATTGGTCGTTATGGCAGGTTATAATTACATTTACAAAAACTTGTCCTCCACTGGCGGACTTCGGGGAAAAATTCTCCAACACAATTTTTCCAGATCCCAGATTAATTCAGTTACAACGAAATTCACAGTGATCGATGTGTCTTTTATACGGGTGAAATGACGTCCTTGTCTTCCACAGGTGCCCCTCACCTCAGTGGCGATCACCAGCGGCAATAGTGGAGACGGCAACACCGACCCCTCAGGCAGCCCCCTCAGTAAGGACAAGGAACCCCCGGCTGACCCAGTTACCTGATGCGGTGAGGCGGCTTAAACAGTGGCAAGAAGTTAGGCAACCCTGCAACATTTCTGTGGAACCCCGAAGTGGAACTGGTCAATTTGATGATAAACCTTTTGAATAAATGTGTGACAAGCAAATTAATTAATAAAATAACTTTTGAAGTGTATTACAATTCGTGGTTCACTCTTGATATGTTCTGAGTCACATCAGCAAAAATATACTAATATCTACGATTTAAACGAAATATAACGTAGCTTAACGAATTGTAAGTAATTAATTAATGTAAATAATAAGTTACTTCTACACTTTGTTTAGTTTTTGTTACACTTCCTTGTATTTACTTTCAATCTTAAAGAAGAGCTCGTCGTGTGTCGAAGCGAAAGATTCGAGGCATACTCGAGTTACTATTACCTACTTAACTCCAAAATATAACTAAGGTTTACTCAAAGCTAATATTGTTTTACATATTGTTAAAAAATGGGTTCGTTTCATAGAGGTTCTTTATCTTCCTCGACAACTTAGTACATATTTTTGAGATCTCAATGTGATTGTATAGTTCCTTATTTTTATAGTGTAATAATATTATCTGTATGAAAATAGGTAAAAATATTTAGCTAATTTGTAAATATTGTAACTATTGAAATATATTATGTAAATTATAAATTTCTAACTGTTATGTTATAATTACTATCAGTGTTATTCAATTGTATAATTTTATACTAAGGCTAAGTTAAAGGACACGTAATTTTAGCTCTACATTTATGGCGCATAAAATATACCTATTTTTGCAGACTTGTGTAAATATATCTACTGTTTTTGTGTTAATATATTTATAGAAACATATTTTATATTTTTTTCTGATACCATTATACATTAACCGTAATCTTATTATTTATTATTCAGAATCCCTAAATTGAGTTAATAAAAGACAATTTATTTATACCATGAAGGCTGATTACATACGCAGCATGAGTCGCATACACTGTATTAACTCTACCCTTCGCACACTCTGGTGAAATATATAAAAAAAACGTTGTGTGGCGGTTTTAACAAAGGCACCGCCACCTCCTAATTACCTACCGAGAGAAAGCTCTCAGCAAATGAAAAGCACACACAAAAGATGTACAAACCGTATAGGAGGGTAGACCCACAGATTCGATTAATACCCTCAATCCTATTCAGGTGTGCTATCTTGTTAGATTACATTATCATTAGGTCATTTGTTCTCTACAGGAACACGGCCCTCCAATTTACCAGAGACAAAAGAAGGGATTAAGAACCTTTCCTGTAAAATGACATCTAGTAGGTAATGGTATTTGCCAACTTAAAATAAAAAACCTTGTATAGATCGTGCCATCCTCGAAGACACGCCCCACCAATCTTGATCGAGGGAAGCGCGGGGTGGATAATTTAGATAGCACTCAAACATTAGCGGAAGAATGGTGGGGCGCGTCTTCGTGGATGGCACGATCTACACCTACATCTCACGTAACCTCACCTACATGTAACTAAACTAGAACAAAACATAGCTAAGCCAATGCGTGATGTCCAGAAGAAAGGTTTTCTTTTAAGCATTTTCCTTGTACCAGATAGGTACAACACACACTAAAACAATGTGTATGTTAGTATGAGTATTAAATCCAGTCACGACTCTACGATGTAATATTGAAAAGCCTAAAACCTAGAAGGGTAGCGGAACCCTACTAATTACGTACGTACTAATGCGAAAGTTATGAGGATGTACGTTTGTTATGCTTTCACGCAAAAACTATGAACGCATTTTGACGAAACTTTACAGTTATTGTTTACAGATCAGAATAACTTTCGAGTATACTTAGGTCATAATTTATAACAATCTATGACAAACTGAATTTCATGCGGGCTTATTACTCTCAGTGTGATACAAAGATGTTATTCCCTTTAAATAATTACAGTTTATTGTAAAGTAGTAATAATCATATTCAATTCATGCGTTAATTACCCGACTATGCCAGAAGGAGGGTTATGTTTTACAATTTGTGTTAGTATGACGAGTGTGGCATAGCAGTGCGTTGACGAGATTGAGTGGCAAGTGACGCGTAAGCCTCAGCCGTAATTATTGTCTTATCTTTCCTACACAGGACGTAGGGAACTGCTTGGGATTTGGGTAGGTAAGAGTATGACACAATCATACATAATAATATCATAGTATGACAATTTCGAACTATTCCTGGTGAAATTTCGTTTAGACGTTTAATAGACACTTGTAAAATTAAAGGACCAAGAAATAGATAATACCGTTCACCAAAAATTACAAAAAAGAAACTGATTCTCAAGTAAATAAAATAAAAAGTCGGGCGTTCTCCCGTGAATACTAAAATCCGAGTTTATGTAACACACTGTATAATCGGGAGTTAAATCAGACTAAGTTACTCGTCGCACGGTGAAAGTTTTGTAAAATTTCCCTTCAGGCGTCATATCTCACGTTTGGGACAATTTAATACGTAGATAAGTAGGAATTTAATGTGAAAATGACATAATTTAACGCATAATTTTGTTTGATTTGTAACGAAACATACAAGTACATATTACGCACAGACAAAAATACTGTGTAGGAAAATAGGAATACATGTCTCTTGTAAACTACAAAAACTGCGAACCAAGTGATAAATCTAAGTGTGTATATTATTAATAAGCCTTATAACACTATATTAATTTGACTGTCATTTTTATCGCTCCCCATAAACATGTCAAGTATTTCATTAAGTTAAGCCATAACAATATTAAGCAAGCGCGAACGGTAACATATGGGATATGCATTTCATTAGAAGCTTTCGTATAAACGAGCGCTCCGACTATTCTTGTCACGGGTTATGATCCTGTGGGCTTAATAGAATCAGGCCGAGTATATTTTTACACACAGAAAATGCATTAACAACAGCTTAAAAGCTTCTAACATCCCTTTCCTGTTTACACATAGTCATTAACGAGAACCAAACCAAAATAAAAAAAAGTACGAGTAAATTTTTTTTTTTTAATCCACAACGAGGAAGCTCTTGGCCTGTATCTCACCTGATGGTAAGTGACGATCAGGCCGAAGGTGGAAGCGAGCTTCACCCGGAATCCTCAACCACGGAGGAACTGGCTATCTTACCTCTAACTGCCGGAACACAACAATGCTGTTAACATTGTTGTTATGGCGACAGACTTAGGTAAGATGGTGGTAGCTAGCCAGGCGGACTTAGAACAAGCCCTACCACCAACCAAACCGAACAGAAAAATCTGCCCCCACTGGGAATCGAACCCGGGACCTCTGCGTCTGAAGCAGGTGGTCTAACCACTAGACCACAGAGGCGGTTATTTTACCTATAGACACATTTTCTCAATATACTTAGGTAAGTTCATACATTGAATCGACTCTGGAAAGCTTTCAGAGCTGAAAAAAAGCTCCCACACTCAAAACAAAACCGAATTATTGCTTCATTAAGGACAATATAAACCTAAAAATTTCTCAGCTTAGAAATGTTATGTTCAAATTAATTACGCTTTGATGTTGGCAGCTGCTTTAATATTAAATTATGTGCCAAATAAATAAATACGAAAACCAAATTTACACGGGTTAATTTCAAAACAGTTGAAAGCTACAATTAAGAAACATGACGGTGTAATTAGTNCAATTAGTGCGAATGTTAATTTCACGCTTTTGGCTGAATTGGTTAAACTTTTCAGTTTAGGGTTTCTACTAGGGGACATCCAGATAGCTACAGGGCACAAGGCACAGCGGACAGGGCAATGAGCATTGGTAACAATACACCAGACACCAGGTTATCAGATACCGTGCACACGAACTAGGATTACCGGTTGCTAATTAGAGACACCCATTAGGAACGATGTCTCTTACTCTCGGAGCGGCACGTGTGTACCGGAAGTCTTATAATGAATAGGAGGGTGCACTGAAGACTTATGGAACAGATTGGCGAAAACTTTGACGTGAAACTCGAACTATGCTCTTAAGATGAAAACTACTTCTTAACTTATAAACGTCGCGTTAAGACCCGTGTCTTTCTTTTTTACTTCTTAACTTCTGCCACGAATATTAAAGTTTTCTAAATTGCATCGACATTATAGAGAAATAAATTACTAGTTTTTCATTTTCGGGCAACGATATCGAGTATACGTTTGTCGTTTTTGCAATCTATAAATCAGTGTTAAACCATCTATCCCCATTGACTCGTCCCATCAAATTATGAATGTTAACTTTTCTTCCATAGAACCCCATAGGTACTGTTGCGTTCATAACAGTGATATCAAAACAGTAGGTAGGTACTTATAGCAAAAGTGCATTCATAATGCTGTAATATTTTCAGAAAATTTACACAGGACATGAATGTCTAGAAACGAGGTCAAGTTTTATTCTATTCTAGTCCGGCGTCCCTCGGGGCCGTCGGAAAGCCGCGGTCAAAACCACTTAGGAGCCGGCCTTAGCTGCGGTGATAGGATGTGACTGGCTGGCGTTACCTTTCTTTTGTTTTGTAGGGTACACTCACATTAGTCATAAGATGTAGGTTTCTTTTGGGTAAAAAGGTAAGATCCGTCACGTAAGTTGATAACAATGGTTGCGCAAATAACTATTTACAAAACTGTGGAGAACGGTGGACTGTATCTAAAATTAAGTGGGTGCGGGGGGACGCAAACTGGTCTGCGGTTATAGAATTTACAGAAAAGTAATATTTAGCTACCATAGCAGGCGATAACTATGTCTCGTACAAAATGCTGGAAAAGGCCAGCCTGAACGGGAAAACAACAACTTTAGCTTGAACTTGGCTTGACACGCTACCGCGTGTCTAGATAAGCAGCCTGGTGAAGGAAAAATTGCACATACCTTTAGCTCCTGGATGCAGCAAGTGGAGATGCAGACTCCGTTCACCTCGACACCTCGTGGGAAATGCACGAAAAAACACACTTTCTTTCACAATTTTTCTTCCAAGACACAACCACTTTACGAAACGTCTTTTCAATACACTGTAATCACAAGGCACATAAGTTCGATCTACTTAAACAAAAGTGGTACAAAATAACATAAGAAACAATTTTTACGAGAAGCGGTCTCTTTATCAACGCTTTCCCGACGCGCGTCGTTCGAAAAACTCAACAAAAAAAATGAAAATATGATGATCAATTAAACACAATGCAAAACTGATACAATGAAAAATGTTTATAAAGTGGTCTAGTCTTTTAAATTATACTTAGATATCTAAGTCTAAATAATTATCTACCCACAGAATTATCACTTGACAACAAATTATAAAGTAGGTCATTTTCAAGGTAAAACGATTGTAACTTCAAAAGGAGATAGGTCAGAGTTGTCCTGTTTTACGCTCATAAAAAATGGAGGGTTAAACGAGCATTAAAAACGAGCAACAAGATCAGCCTTCACATAATATTTGTTATTTGAATAAAAATGTAGTTCTGAAAAATAACCTATGATTACAGTGCAAAAATTTTTGATGTACTAAAAAAATTTCATTTACATCTTAAAAGTAATCTGGAATTATTAACGACTATTTCCGAACAAATCTATGGAATTGGAGGCATTGTTATTTTGTTGTAATTCATACTATAGAGGTATGTATGACTCTCTAG